ACACACATATATATGTGTATATATATATAATATTTTCTTAACCATTTGTAGTATTTGTTAGTAGAAATAGTCTAAATGGATTCCTAAACTCTTAACATGGCCCCTACAGATCTGGTGAACTGGTTTCATACGTGTCTCTAGCTCTAAAATTACTCCATTCACTTGAACCATGGGGTACATCTCTCCTTTCACTTATCAGAGTACTCTTGATCTTTCAAATACTTAGACCTCTGCTGCAATGTGTCTCTTAGAACTCTAACAGAGAGAGGCCTCTAGATTTCTGGCTAAACATTAATGCTCCAAGGAAGTCCTTCTTTACAATCTAGGCAGGTTGGGTCCCTCAGTAATATATTTCCATAGCAGTTCATTCATCTCTGGATATTGTAATTTTTTATGTACTTGCTTATAATGATTTGTCTTCTCACTTGGATTTAAGTTCCATAAAGTAGGCACTATATCCATGCTGTTCACTATTTTCAGAACTAGGATATGATGGACTTTCAATAATCTTACTCTTAAAAAAATAATCCTACTTTTTGATACTAGGTTAGATTTAGAAAGAAATGTGTTTTCTGTACTCAAAGTGATGCTTGGGATGGAGTATACCAGAAGGCTTTCTTTTCCCTTATAAACTAAGCACCACTTTCACAACCCACCATTCTCTTATGATTGTTTAGCTTTGAGACTCTCAAGGCAAAGTGATAGCCACAAGGCATCGCGTCCATACTTGAAACAATCAGAAGTAGAAATGGCCCTGGGTGAATAGTCAGCAGGAGAACTGAGATCTGCTCTTGGATTGGTTAATCATAACTCTGCTCTGTGATCCCCCAGGAAGGTTCTTGTCCTTTCTGAGCTTTGGTCTTCACCAACATTGATACTGAGAGAGAACTGCCCTGCAATGTTCCAATGACACATCCAGTCATAAAATTCCATGACATATACTCACTTCAGATCTAAGTAGTCCAGTCCTAAAGGTGAGCACTCACATTTTCAAATCAGAGGTTTTCCCCTTTGGATTATATCATTAGATGAATGGCACAATATGCAGTAAAATAAGTCAATTTTAGCTTCTGTACTTACTGAACTGTAGGACAGCTGCAACATGTTCTTCATATAGCTATTTCTTTATTTTTGGTTTTTTTTAAAGAAAAGAAAAATGCAGGTTGAAGAGGAAATAGATTCATATAACTAAGAAGAACAGATTGCAAATGATAGAAATTCTATAAAGCCTTTAGGAAAATAAAACACAAAGAAATATGTATGAAAGAAAGGAAATGAGTCAGTTTTTAGAACACAGGCTTTTTTAGACTCTCTTTTTTGGTACATAATCTGCTTGCTTAACTGTATCTGATGGGCTACTTGGTCATTCTAGGTCTAATTTTCCCATTTGCAAAATGGGCAGGTAACATTTTCTTATGTAGGAATGTGCCAGTGCTGACTTGGCATTACAGTGATGGATATCAGAAAAAAAGGGTGTACAGAATTTGGGGATGTCTAACGGCTGAGGGAACCCACAGTTCTCAGTAGGAGGGCAGGTTCTGAACTATCAGATGGCTGTTGGTCATTATTCACATCAAAAGGTGAGGAAAAATGTCATCAGCTAATTTCTTAGCTGATGTTCAAACACCTTTTAACTTATGTTCAAACACTACTGTTGTGGGTTTGCATGTGAACTAATATAGATTGTGCTACCTTCTAAATTCATGTGTTAAAATCTAATCCCTCAGTACTTGAGAACATGATTTCATTTGCAGATGGACTAACAGGTAAGATTGAGGTCACTGTAGTCCATAATAACTGATGTCTTTATGAAAAGGGAAGACTTGGAGACAGACACATGCATGGGCCATTGACAGTGAAGACAAGGACTGGAGTGATGCTTCTACAAACCAAGGCACCATAGCTATGGCCAGCAAACCACCACAACACTGGGGGAGGCCCATGGAACCCATTCTCCTCGCAGCCCTCAGAAGAAACTAGCCTCATGGACGCTTTGGTCTCAGACTCCCAATTTGCAGAGTTGGGAAACAATACATTTCTATTAGTTAAGGAGATTAAAAAATAGAATTGCAATGTGTTATGCACATGTACCAGTTCTCCACAATGAATGTAATCCTTATACACTGCAAATGTGTACTAACACAAAATTAAAAAAATTTTAAGAAGCCACTTGATTAATCTGTGGTGTTTTGTTATGGCAGCCCTAGCAAATGGATGTAAATACTTAAGCTATAAAATGAAAGCTCAAATAACTTCTAACTATCTCTTTAAATATGATTCTGATTCCTTGAAAAATTCACTTCTCCCCTTGTTGGAGTATCCCGATGTGTCTGTAGCCCTCTGAATTAGCTTAATGTACCTTGGATACCTTAGTGGTTTTCTGCCAGTAATGGCAGTGCAAAATCAATCTCAAACATGAAAGAATGGATAAATTACACTGACAAGGAAGATTCTGGCCTTGAACTTGGGACTTCTGATTAGATTTCATGTTGTGTGGATCAAAGAGAGAGGATTGGATATATTTATATGGGTTTTCTTGCACATGTGCATG